AATTGAATATAATTTATTGCACACAAGGAAATACAAGGAAGAAAATACCGGAAAGATAGTGTACGATAGTGATAGTGATTAGATAATAAAGTTGCGGGATAATAGTGCAAAAATAATTACAGTAATATATATGTAGAAAAATAAAATCATCTAATATAATACATATCTATATAATAACAAATACACATACATATATATGCATATTAACAAGTACTTATTAATAAGTGTGAAAGTAGCAAAAAAAAAAAAAAAAAAAAACTGACAACCAAAGCTCAGAGGAAAAAGTAACGTTGGGATGAAATAAGACAGGAAGGGAAAGGAGATGGGCTTTCAGGTGCTTCTTAAAAGTGTAAAGGGACGGGGCTTGTCTTATAGACACAGGGAGTGAGTTCCAGAGCTTCACAGCTTGGACGGTAAAAGAAAAGGCATAGAAATCAGTGGTATGAGAAGGCATAGAAAGCGAGCAATAACGAGAAGAACGGAGTGAACGATCAATAGAAATGGACTGGTATTTAAAACTTTCTTTTAGATACGAAGGAGTCGAAGGGTTAAACAGGATAGAATAAAGTAGGGAGAGAACGTGAAAATCCCTTTGACGACGGATCGGGAGCCAATTTAACTGATTACGACAAGAAGAGACATGGTCGTACTTGCGTAGGTTGAAGATAAATCTAATAGAAAGGTTTTGGAGGCGCTCGAGTTTACTAAGCATCTCTGCTGTAAGGTTGGGATTAGACGAATCACCGTAATCAAGGATAGGTAGAAGTAGGGTCTGTACAAGCGAGATTTTAGTGCTGGTCGGTAAGAGATTCCGCAGTCGTCTTAAGGAGTGATACGCTGAAAACAACTTTTTATCCACGTCAGCGATATGTGGCTTCCAGGATAAGGTCTTATCAAATATCACGCCGAGATTTTTAACAGTATCGCTGTATGGTATATGGACGCCATCAAACATAACTGGAGGTAGTTGATCAAAGTCAACTCTAGATATGAACCAAGGGCTACCCACTTTTTAGGGTTCACCGTGAGACCATAAGAGCGACTCCATTCGGATATGCGAGAGAGTTCGGTGTTGATGGAACACCGCTACGTGTAAGTCAGGAAGTGCCTGTGAGTAAATTTGGAGGTCGTCTGCATACAGGTGGTACGAAGATGTTAATAAATGAGTTAAATTGTTTATGAAGATCGTGAAGAGTAAAGGGGAAAGAACGCCACCCTGCGGTACGCCTGCACGTGTATCACACTAGGAGGAGAAGGCATCTTCAATCTTAACACGCTGCTTGCGCCCATACAGGTAACTACTAAACCAGTCAATAGCCGTTGGAGATATGTTAAGCGAGCGCAGCAGCCCCAGTAAGATGTCAAAGTCTACAGTATTGAAAGCATTACTGAAATCAAGTAACGCTAGTACTGTAAGCTGCTGATTATCCATGCCCCAGCGAATATCATCAGAGATCTTTATGAGAGCAGTAGTCGTACTATGACCGGAACGGAAGCCAGATTGGAAAGGGTTAAGAAGATCGTAGGACTCAAGAAAGTGGTTTAACTGGCGATGTGCTAGTCGTTCGAGGACCTTAGAGAGGAAAGGAAGAATTGAAATAGGCCGATAATCAGAGAAAGAGGATGGTTTGACCTTTTTGGGAAAGTTTTGTGCTTCTTTCCAAGCCGTGGGAAAGACACCAGAGGTAATTGACCGGTTAAGAATTTTGGTAACGACAGGAGTGACAATGTCTAGGATAGGAATAATCATATTTCGACTAATACTGTCGCTTCCGATGGCATTCGAGGAAATGGACAATATGCTCTTCTTGACGTCACAAACGGTAAATTGACGAAATGAAAAAGAAGGAAAATTGGGTTGTTGCTGTTTTGTATTAACCATAAAAAACAATAGGTAACAATAGGTAACAACGACTTATTTTGTGACATGAAACTACGTAAGCGGTACGAAATAAAGTAATCACATTCAAAGCTTTTACGAAGGTAATCGATTTGGTTGCATCTTAACGACTTCAAAAGCTAACTACTTCATTTAACCGCGACTTGAAGCTCGTGGAAACAAAATTGTTTGCGTCATTAAGCTGGACCATTATTCAATTACGGTCGAACGGTACCGATAATGGACGGCGGCGCGGCAAACTACTCGAATTAAATAATGTATGAGAGTTGCGCGGACGTGGACGGAGTAAGGGGAGTGTTTCCCACCGATGTTGCGGGCTAATTGCCACGTTTTATACAGTAACGCCCGGTTGCTGAGACACTGTTGACACTCACGTAGGCTAGAATAAGACTGTTATAACTGTATGTTATATTGTAAACTGATACTTTTGAAAAACAGCAACTGTTGAGTTTCTTGCCGGTCTTTTCTCAACAGAAACTGCTTTCCGAACCGGTGGTACCTTACGAACCTATATATATATATATATATATATATATATATATATATATATATATATATATATATATATATATATATATAATTTTTGATGTAAAATTTGACGATTCTATTTGAATGAATACATTTTTGATGTTGATTTTTCACTGATCCTCGTAGAAGTTAACTAATCAGCTGTGCAAACTAATGTTAATTCGGATGAATAAATTATTAATTTTGTATATACATTTACACAAATTGGCGGTAGCCCGGATTAACAATGACACTCAAACGTTAGATAACGGTACGGAACCCATCGTGCGCGAATCCGACTCGCACTTGTCTAGTTTCTGATTTTTAATTCCCTTTCGCTTCCAAGTCATCAAGTTTAGTCTGATTTATGCATGAAAGGCTTACTGTATAATAATATAGTACACGTATCTACGACTTAAGATTAACTAAACTGTGAACATAACGTGCAGTAGCGATAAATTACTTATAAAGTCGTATAGTGTTTGATAAACTGGTTGATATATCTTACATAGAGTTGGGAACTTATTGTAGTTTCAAGAGAAACAGCGGGGATTTCTGTAGAATCTACGGGTGAAATGGCGACATGATAGATTGCCATATTCCGTCTTACAAGCTCCCGGCAACGCTACACATTTATAAGTTCCGCATTGTACTTTAACTTTATTTATTTTTATTTTATATGTGAAAAGTTGCCAAACGACCAGGCAGTTCACCTGATGTTAAGGGAATACCGTCCATGGACATCTGCTACACCCGAGGGTTGCAGATGCGTTGACAACCTTTTGAAAATTGGGCACCGGCTACCTCAACCACCAGACGAAAGGCGAAAGTATTATACTTCCACTTGACGTCAGTCTTCTGTGAGGTCGTGGTACTTACCCGGACGAGCCTGCCCATTCGTGCAACAGCCGAGGCTGTTGCGTGGCCATAATACGACAAAATTGATTCTAAACGTTTACTATTTCATCAAATTCAAATATCTTTTTTAATAATCATAATTCAACATAGAAATATAACACTTATTGATCGTCAAAATTCTATTATTACCGGTTCGGAAAAATAGGCATTGATCAGAGAAAGGCCGGAGAAAGAAACTAAACAGAACAATTTTTTTACCATTATTTGAAAAAGAAACATGTTTACATTATATTACATTCAACTTGTAAGAGCCTGGAGCGATAAACTCATTTTCTGAGTGTGTTATCATTTAAATAATCACTTATATTCTAATAACCTTTAACACACAAACGTTCCTATACATTTTTTTAATTTGGCAACTGATACATTTTGAACGTTCTCTGAGAGTTTAAAATTTCATCGATGTTTAAATGGTAGTTTAAAATGCACTATCATAAAATTAATATACGTGATATATATAAAACAGAACCAAGAAAATGTTTGCGTAGTCAATTTTAGACTGATGATTTTTGTTATTTTGTAAACACAAAACAGCGGGTATTGTCATTGGTAATTTATGAGTGAAATTACATGTAATCCTTTCAAAATTAAATCATTTAAAGAAATATAATATTTCCCATCCAATGTATAAATATTCTCATGCGTAAATTTCACACCAGCGAGTGTAAGTTATGCTCTTAGGCAATAAATATGTCAGCAAATGATATACCGTTATTATTCTTTGCTCTTCCAAGCTGAACTAGTCATAAATATTATTATGAACATATCGATGTATATATTGAGGACCGTGTGAATTTATGACTGCTCCAATAAATCGACACGACTGTCACGTCTATTTTCTCCAAGAATAAATGTGGTCGTAAATAGTTTTGCGACTGTTTTCATATTTTGATACGATTTATTAAATTCTAAGAATGAGAAGTACGATCAAAAACCCTATTTTCTTCTAATTAATCTTATATCTTCATACTACAACGCAACAGTTTTCGCTGTTGCACGAGTGAGCAGGTCCGTCCGGGGAAGTACCGCTACCTCACAGACGACCGGGGTGAAGAGGAAGTGTTAATAATTCTTCGTTTGATGCCTGGTGAGTGAGGTAAACGGGGCCCACTTTTTTAAAAGGTGGCAAAGCACTGCAGGTGCTGCACTCTACGAGTGTTAAAAATGTCTATGGGCGACGGTTATCACTTAACATTTGGTGAAGCGACAGCTCGCTTGTCACCTTCCAAATGCTTTTTGACGTGATTGTGCGTCTCTGCCGTCCACGCTACACATCTTCATTCGATACGTCTAAACCATTAAATGAAAGGAGAACAGAAAAGAAGAGAAACAGAATATAATCAGACAGACGTTATATTCGGCGGCGTTAGACTTTATTCGTTTATTTGTGAAACTGGGATGTTCTCATACATTCTATTGTCCGAGACTCAATTTATGTTTATAAACTTTTATCTTTTCAATTTTTCTAAGGTTTTATGAAAAGCAGCCGCATAATTCTGGTTGGTGTTCAGAACAGCAGAGAAGTAGGAACCTTAGACGTTTAGAAATGAGTACAATTTTATTGGTAACAAAAAGGAAATTAAACGTTTATTAGGATGTTGTTTGACTTCATCTTTGACTAGTGTATATGATTGTAGGTATATGTCTATTGGTATTATGCTAGAAATCGGTTTTAAGTGTTCGGTACGGGTTCGGGATCTGGCTTTTGGCAGGTGAGGGCTCCACATCGGTTGGGGCAGCACTTCAGCGCCCTCGGACAGTCAGAGTCGCTGGTGCAGGTGTGACTGCAGACCCAAGCCCCTCGCGGGTATTCGGGACACGTACCTTTCTTCACTGGAACGGAGAAAGCTTGTTGCGTTAATTACTTTTGCCTCGGCTTGATTTTGTTATTTTGGAAATGGAATCCATGATGTTACATACAAAGACATGACTCTAGTGCATCAAAATTGAGGCACTCAAATGCAGTCTAATTACACCAACTGGTGTTAGACTGCAATTCTATATACTGTTGTCTCTTTTCATATATGGCAAATAATGTAAAGGGGAATATTTTTAACGCCGCGCAATATGGACATGCATTATCTTTATTATTACACCTCATATGAAATATCCATTTCACGTGAACAAGTTACTTTTATAAAAAATCGAAATCAAAATCATTAATGGAATGTTCATCAGAAACATACATTCCATATAGAATGAAACACTTATGAAGAGCGTTTCACTTGCACAAAGCTTTTAACTTTATATTTTTTTTATGCGAGAAGGTGGCAGCTGGCACCTTCTCACATTTGCAACACTCGTAGGGTTGCAGATGCCTTGCCACCTTTTAACCAAGTGTGCCCCGGTTACCGTACTCACCTGACGAAACGCAGAAGTACAACATTTCCAATTCACACCGGTCTCCTGTGAGGTTGTGGTACTACCCGAACGGACCTGCCCATTCGTGCAACAGAGAAGGGCGTTGCGTAGCCCTACCACAGTTAAATGTAAAAAATATATTTATTCAGCGAGGAACTGCATGCAATTTCATTGTTTGATTGGGTAATTACTCGAATACTTTTGGGTAATAATCGGAAAATGTCGCCGCAATTAAAGTCGGCACGAAGGAAAATATCGCTCGCATTTATCAACGCTTTTAGCAATTTGCGCATGCCATCTTCCATTCGCATCTGTGATATATTCAAATTGGATATTCATTATACCGGAGGGCGGTTTTAAATTTGTGAGCATGCATATTTTATATGACTTATTAATAAACCATTTTAATGTATTACCATATAAATATTGTATAATGTATATTGCGTATTCATTCTTTGAGGAGGTGATCAGATATAACTGTACTGAACTTTTAATCGAGCTCACTTAATGCCAGAAGTGATCAGCGATAAAGCTGTCCCCATATATCAGACAAAATTATTGTAAGGTAATTTTTGTATGTAATTTATCAGAAAGGTCACACCAACATTGGTAGTTGAGTTTAGCTCACCTTCTAGGTAATTGTTTTGGTTTTTATTTTAGACCTGCACACCCAACGATACAACTTAAATAACACGGAACTAAAGAATCATAGAAAGCGACTCGAATGTACCAAGGAAACTCTACTGTACTCAACACTCAACCAGCTGCAATTACACAGCGGTAACACGAGTGAGTGAGGATGAAAGGCTTCTAGAAAACTCCAAAGCCTAACCCATCGTCGTGAAGTGTCTCTTCGTCATGGGGTCCACGCACATCGCGCCACCGCACGCGGTGGGACAGCAGAGCTTGGAGTCGTTGCAGGGCTCGTCCGGTCCACAAACCGCCCCGCAGACGTCCACGGATAGGGTCGGTGGGCACGATCCCGGCGCGCCCCGCACCACAGCCACCACCGCTGTGAAAACCAAACGTACGTTCATGTTAATACGCAAGAAAATCAATACTAGTCAGATAACAGCTACCGAACGAGCCGATGCTAAACGGCCATTGAGTAACAGCCCAAGCCGAGGTTCTCTCTCGAAGGCCCTTGAGCGTGGTTGCTAAATAAAGCGTCCGCCTAAAAGAGCTTGGCCACTTCCCAATCTGACGTGAAATGGGCCGAGCAGACGCTCCCTCGTGAGCCCTCGAGCTTAATCTCTAATAAATGTTGTTCAGGCTAGGCGCCCTCAGCGCCTGGCTAACTAAAGCCCAGTGGATCTGTAAATGCTTCTAAAAGCCAACAGTGAACGAACCATTAAAAAAAATTGAATGGAATATAAATTTAATTTCGATTACTTAAAATTTAATTATACTTATAGTATAACGTTGTATTTTGTGTTCAAATTATAAGAGGTTTTGTTGGAAACATTTTTGATTTGATTAAAGAGATACCGTTGCCACGGGATCGGTTGAGGTGTTCAGTGTTGTCATTTAATATTGAAATTCAATCAATATGTTTCTAACACCTTTAGAATTGCTATGTGTGGCCCACTCTTAATAAAGTGGGCAGTGTAAGTTTCAGTATACACTTTTATTCAACTCTATTGCGACCAAAATATTTTTATTTCATTCTAACCGGTTCGCTTTAACATTGCAAAAGACGAACATAGTTTGAATTTAAGTCTGACGCAACACAAATACGAATAGCGATAACGGTTATAAAAATAATTACTAATACCTACAACGGAAAGAAACGCGATCAGACAATTTAACAGTTGCACATTAAAACAGGACGTCCATCGGCTTCATGAAAACAATTTGACGCTCGGGCTTAGTAAAACACAACAGATGTGTCCACTAGACGAGGTTTGAATCGATTCGATAAAACAAAAAAACTAAAACTTCGCAAGCGGCCAGCGGATATATTTTTAACGATGCAGTTCCGTATCAGTTTAGCTTCTGCGATGCATTAACTCACCAGCGGCAAGTAAAATGTGGAAGCACTGCATCTCCACCCTCCGGGGACGCTTATACTCGTCCGCTCTTTGATTCCGGCGTACTACGATAATAATGAGCGTCTTGACACAGATAACGAGGTACACACGGCCGTGGCGTTCGCCGCACTGTTAACATGACTTTGGAAGTTATTGATTTAGTTATAGTTTAAGTGTTCTAGACAGTAGTTCACTCTGTTGTGAAATATAAAAACAAATTCCATATAAGTAAAAATACAGAAAACAGATTCTTAGAAATTATTGCTATTATAACAGCTTAATAGTGCTTTAACAGAAGATAATTGTATTAAATGAAACTAGTAAACCATAAAACTGTAAACAAATTTCAGGGTCATTACTGGTAGGACGCACTGGTTAAACACTTTGGACTTGAGGCATTGCGGTATTGACGACTCAAAAACGTATCGTAGCTTCCCGAATGCCGCCCAGCCTAAGCGTATTCTTCGGTTGGTCTCTTTCACAAAGTTGTGCCGGCCTAGTTGTATAGTTTGGCCAAGGTAGGTGTATTGATGCACAACCTTAAGCATAGCGTTCACGACCACTGGTCTCGGGATCACATACTTTTCGTCTTGTCAAGGTCCATATCAAGACCCACTTGTCTCGAAGAATCGCTCAGGCTGTTGAGCATGGCTTCCAGATCTTGCAGAGATTCTGCCGTGATGACAATGTCGTCAGCGAATCGCAAGTGTGTTATTAATTGGCCATTAATATTAATGCCCCGTCCGTTCCGACCTGTCCATTCGTGCAATAGCAAAGAACGTGACCCTACTGAAGTGAAAGTCTGTCTATTCTATTCTGTTCAGTCAATTGTATCTGAAGGTTCCCATCAATCTTTGCGTACTCAACATGACCTTTAACTTTATTTAGGTTCTTGTTAATGGTTTATCAAAATGCATACAAAAACAAATGTAAAACATTATTCAAGCAAGTTTTTGCGAACGTAATAACTGTGTGTATCGCATGTTAATGTCACGCAGATAACACCGAGATGGCGTCGCGCTGGAGGAATCTACATGAAATCGTGATACAATCTGTGAGTTCGTCCCAAGCATTACACTGTGAAAGTTGACATACATAACGATTGTAACATTTTATCCGTTATTTAAGTTTTATTTTAATCAAAATGTAAAAAAATGTAACTTTGTGGAAATAATTAAACTTAATCACATTGACAATAATCGTATTGTTGTGACAAACAAATGAAACGTATAACCTTTTAAAATGTTAACATAATTTCAAAATGCTTTCAGCCATAAAGCGTAGCAGTGTAGCCATAAATTCACATAATGGACAAACAATTATCAAAAGGTACATACAAAATTTATTTTAATTTATAAAATGAGATTATGAATTGAAGCAATTTAAAGACATTTCTGAACGTAAACGAGTGGACGCCCCGTCGCCCGATAAACCTCGTTCCCTTAACGTGATAAAACTCCGGTAAATATTTTTCCAATATTTTCAATGACGGAAGCGCCCCGTTTAGCCGCTGCTACGGCGAACCGAATGCTATTTTATCTGTGCCATTTTGAAATTCTATTACAGGTGTTAGAAACTTTGGTACCTACATTGATAAAACGCGGGAAATAGCTCCCGGTGCATCGATATGTCTATAAGTGTTGCACAGTACAGTACAAACATTTCAGCTTAGGGGATGGGATGTGAAATTTTATCAGGAGTAAACGGAATGGGCCGTGATAGCTCATTGTTAGGACGCTCGCTTTTAATTCAATATACTCGAGCAACCTAAGTTTAATCCTTGGTGCCGGCACCAATGAAATTGTTAGTTTTAAGTGCTCATTTATCAAGTTCTCAGTGCTGAAGGAAAACATCTTGAGAAAACGTGCATATTTTAGAAACAATAACAAAGAGAATTATTTCGAAGGTATGTGAAGTCCGCCAACATGCAGTAGGGTCGCGTGGTTGAATATGCCCTAAATACCCTTTGTGCTGGCCTTTGCCCAGCAGTGGGACACATAATATGCAGACTGTTACTTTATTACTAATCATTTGTCACCTGTTTATACGAGTATATTTGTTGCAGTGAAGCGACTTTACTGGACAATAAAAATTTTGTTTATCTTCCATATCGTAGACTACCGTTGTGAATTTAAGCATACGGTAAGATTTGCCGCTTGATCAATCTCCGCCTTTAATCATTGTCGATATCTGCTCATGTGTTGGTATGCGGGGAAAATTGAGTTTACACGCTGTGAGCGACAAACACTTCCAGAAAGCGGATTATGTTAGACTGGATTGAGCGTTAAACGTCTTATATCATGCTTAGCGTTGCATGTTCAGCAGTTGATTATAATTGATGGATCCAAATGAATTAATATGAGTGTAAACACGCGTTACTACCATAAATTCGCGAAATATGCTGGGCCTAATAAGTTCCTCATATCTTTATTAATGTGAAGTTTTCACAAGCCCATAGTGAATGTAAGGTGTTATGAACAAGGCCAAGCATGCCATATAATAATAATTGGCAAACAACATTTTTTAAATATTAACTTCATATTATTATTAAGATGTATGCTAAGCGTTTGCAGATACTTTTCTGCCATTCTGGTTTATGAATTCATATTTTTTTGTCGTTTAAGAATATCAAATAGTGGAATGTAAAACGTTGATTGTATTTAATTTTATTTAGTAAAACTAAGCAAATTTAAGCCAATAATTTTATCATTTCAGTGTTGTTATACACACATATTGACGAGGGATGATGCAAGATAAGAATGCCAGGCAACATATGTAGACTATTAGGTGCCAAAACATTTGTAAGGGTTTCATAGTAAGAGCAGGTTGTTAGAATTAATGAGAATAATAACTGTAACTGTTTAGTATATTTTTACGTATTTATTACTTATAGTACAACACAGATTAAACGTCTTTTAATCTAGCATTTCAGTGTTGTTCACGCGGCATAATTCGTCGGGTAGTATTTCCATGTAGTAATGAGATGTACACACGAACAAGATAACGTCTTGACGCCATTCCCTGCTAACCTAATGACTCTACGACAGTATTAACACATGTGGTTACTAATGACAGACGAGTGATTAAAGATAAACGAGAAGAAAGTTTAGTTTGCAGCAGTTAATGTATGTTAAAATTGGCCAAAGACGTACCACTTTTGGGTAGTATACAGCGTTGGGTCTACAAAACTTTTAACCATAACGTATTTTATACATTAACGTAGATATGTCCATTTAAGTATGTCAAAATTGAACTAGTTTTAGAATAAAGTGATACATCGTTGTTTTAAGGGAGAAGGTGAAGTTATAATCGTCACCCGTTGACGATTGCAACACCCTAAGGGTTGCAGATGCGTTGCAACCTGATTATAAAGTGGGCCCCGGCTACCGCAGTCACCAGACGAAACGCGGAAGTACACTTCCACTTCACGCCGGTCGTCTATCAGGTTTTGGTACTTACTCGGACAGACATGCCCATGCGTTATTGAAATTCTGTTAATTAAAATATGTAGAAAAATCTTAAGTGCAGAGATTAGCACTATAAAAAAAAGAACTTTAAAATTCTGTTAATGTCAATAAACGTGTTTTTAATTTTCATTTATAAAAACATGCAACAAAGCCTTGCGGGTCTTCAACTATATTTTTAATTTTATTTATGTCTAGACACATAAGTCTTATGCAAAACGATTATTTTATAAAAACATTTAACAAGGCCTTGCGGGTCTTCAACTATATTTTTAATTTTATTTGTGTCTAGATACATAAGTCTTTTTTGTAGTTTATGCAAACCGATTATTAAATCCTCTGAGCTATGTCGGTCACCTTAGTTCTACTGCGGATGTCTTCGAAGCTGAAGTGGCGATGGGCCGGCCATATAGCTCGTAGAACCGTTAACCGTTGGGGAAGAAAGGTTCTCGAGTGGCAGCCTCGTACTGGCCATCGCAGTGTGGGACGACCCCCCACTAGATGGAGTGACGACCTGTGCAAATGTGCGGGAAGTCGATGGATGCAGGTGGCTCAGGATCGTACTTCGTGGCAGTCTATGGGGGAGGCCTATGTTCAGCAGTGGACTCAAACAGGCTGAAATGATGATGATGATGATGATTATTAAATAGTAGTTGGTTTGTAACTTATAAATATTTTTAATGCGATCGAGTACTGTATGGGTAAAAATCATATTACATTTATCATTTTATAGAAGCGAGTATCCAAGAATTTTTACTTAAAGTTCGTGAAATTAAAAGATCGTAAATCAAACGCATAAGGTTATGACCACATCTCCAGACGGTTTGTTTTAAAGAAGAAAGTTTCGGGCTCCAAAAACACCTGCTTTCTTTAACTTAAAAAAAAAAAAACAGTTTGCTGAGGAATTGGCGTAAATTCAATACTTCGAGAAAGAATACAGTCACCTACATAAAGAATATAGAACGTACAGTAAGACTCTTTAATTTTTCCCCATAATTTATTTATTTATTTATTTACTTCACCAACAAGATACACATCAAAACAAACTTAAAACATAGATAAGTACATAGTATCTTCAATTAAATTGTATCTCAATTACAGGTGAAACGACATTCAAAAGTTATTATATTGTCAACTGCTAAAAAAAGAATAATGAAAAAATAATAATTGAAGTATGCTAAATGCTAACAAAGAATTAATACAGTAGTTGACTGACTTTACACTAAAATAAACATATAATCAAAACAGAAAATAACATAATTTTTAACAAAATAACAAAAAAAGAAAACTTATAATATTATTCGATTGAGTTTTAACTAAAGTAACATGATTTAAATTTAAAAATAACTATTAAAACCGCGACTATAAATTAAGATATAAACTATCCTAACTCTCAAGTTCGATCAAACTGCACTCAGTGTGCAAAATTGGATTAAAATCGGTTCAGTAGCTTAGGAATTCATCGCGGACAAACAACGTGACACGGATAATATATATATATATATATATATATATATAAAGACTTAATCTTAAATTATTCTTTAATAAAGT